CGTGTGACCAAAGGGAGGCGAATTTTAGAGTTCATGACACATGAACTTAAAAACTTGAACACCCTACTTCTGGCATCACGTTTGTCTGCTTACCTTTTATATTTTATGGTACTCCAACCTATAAAAGTTGTTATAAATACCACTATAAATGATCGCTTTTTCCTTTACAAGATGGAGCTATTATGCCAGTATGAAATACTAGATCACGAAATATTTCATTCCTACCCAGACAGAGCAAGTAAATCCTAGCACTTGTTCACATTGAGACATTAAAGTCCCATATATAACATAAATGAATGTGACAGGACGTGTCTTTTGTTTAAAAAGATATTTAGTTTTGCTTGTGGATTTAGGTCATAAATAGAACCCTTGAGAAAAGAAACTAGAGCTAGAGACAAAATTTAAGTATAAAATAAAACAACTGATGGTTTAAATTTATTGGCAGTAAATCTTAGCTTAAGCTCAGAAAATGATGGAAATATTGGGCGCAGGTTAACTGAATTTTGCTGGCTATTAAAATGAAATAGAAACACTTTTCAGAGTTTCCAATTTACTCCAATCAGGGATTATTTAACACTGTTTTATTGGCCAGGGAATGAATGTTAATTATCCCTCAGCAGGTCAGATCACAGCAGAGCCTTTGGTCTTATTATTGATAACAAGTTTTAAAGGATATATCAAAACTGATATGCAAGTCTAAAAATGGGATAGTCTTTTCATTTGAATAAATATTTTACGAGACAAGCTGAGAGATATATTTGTAATCTGAACTGGTCTAATATCACCAAATTTATTACAATTTTACCTCTCTCCCAGTAAATAAAATTCCTTATATTAACAATAACTCATATTTTGATTTGGTTTAATTTTTTTATTAATTTGTTTTGACACTCTGCCTACCAAAGAAGAGTTAATCAACCCAAGTTATGCCTGACAGTTATATCTCATTCCAGTGCAATGACCACTGTTCATACAGAGCGACCTCTAGTTCATCCATGTTTTTGGAGTGGTTATTTAATGTTTCCAAATTGCTGAGAAGAAGAGTTAGTAGTTTTTGAAGACTATTTACTCATGGATAATCTTATAGACTGTGAACTGTATGGAAATACCTCTACTTTGAGAGACACTGAGGAGCTGAGAAAAAACTGGAAACAGTCAGTTTAGAAGAACAGTAAGTTAAGGAATCAAAACTGAGGTCAAATTTACCTTCTGTTAAGTGTTTTCCAATAAATTAACCCACACCATCTATGTAAAGTGTAATCTTTTTTGAAAATTTCTATTTCAAACTAAACATAATATTCATAATTCAGTTTATTTGCCCTAAACGTCAACAGAGTTTCTATCACTAGCTTTGAAGGATAGCAGTAAAATCAACAGTATTTATTATTAAAAGCCCCCAAAATGTTTTTTTTGAGACATGGTCTCCACCATGTTAGCCCAGGCACCCTCACTTGAGATCCTTCTGAGTCCACCTCCCAAATGTTAAGATTTACAGGCATGTGCCACCAACTCCTCAGCAAGATTTTTTTTGTGAAAATGTAAGCTCTGTATTGCTGAAGAATTTTTAACAATTTCGGTACATAATATCATCACGGTGCTGGTGGGCCATGCGTAATCCTAGCTTCTTCAGAGCAGAGAGTTCAAGAGTTTTCACAGTTCAAAGTCACCTGGCAAACAGTTTGCAGAGACCCTATCTTGAAAATGAAATTCTTCACAAAATGGATTCGTGGAGTGGCCTCAAGGTTGTAGATCTGAGTCCAAATCCCAGCACCATAATAAATAATAATTAATTTGTCATGGCGCAGTATTAGAGCCTCAATTTCTCATCACAATAGAAGAAGAGCTATTTGTCTAGAATTATCTAAAATTTGTATTTTTTGTAACTCAGTTAATTATTAAGATCAAGCAATAAACCATCAATTACTCTACTAAAATACTCATCATACCATGCTCCCTCACAAAATATTCACTATATGTCAGGCAGCCATGTAAATGTTATAGATATTACACTTTACATATATAATATTTAATTCTTACAAAATGCTGTGAGGTTATATTCCATACCATTTTACCTAGGGGGAAACTGAGGCCTCCAGGAATTTAAATAACCTCTTTTCTGGGTTGCCCACAGTATTGAACATCAGGATCCAAAGTCAGTTAAATTTGACTCCAAATTCCACTTTCTTAAGCTTGCCTTTTCTGTTGGAACACACTTCCTCTAAGTCTGGAAGTCCCAAACTATAAGGAAAAAATTTTTAGTCCTTTATTCTGTCAGTTCTCAAGTCAAATCCCTCATTCTTTTTAACTTGTTACTTATTGTAAAAACAAATAGTAGAAACAATTTTCTGTGCCTGACCGAGATTTCCTAAATTTCAGATTCTCAAGACGCCAGCTTCAGAATCTGCACCACTTAACAAGAATTTCAGGTAAGTTTAGGAAATCTGCCTAGCCTAGATTTTCCTTCATTTTTCTTAATAAACTATACTTTACATGCCTAGCATACAACATGATGTTATCGCGACACAGAAATAATTACTACTTGCTGCCTTTCAAACACAGAGCATCGACACATTAACACTGATAACAACCTCTTCAAGTTTGAACCAAGGTTTGGCATCCAGGAACCCAAAGCCACCAGAAGCTACTATGAATTTTCCCTAAGATATCCTTGTGCTTGCTTCTACTGAAGAAGCATAAAGCTAGAATGAATATAAATATTTCTGCTTTGATCTGTTCTTCCTTTGAGAGAACAGAAAGAGAAGAGAAGAGCAAAGGGGAGAAGAAGGAGGAGATGGAAGGGAGGAAGTGAGGGCAGGAAAGAGAGGAGGCAAGAGTAAATTGTCCACCAATTTATGTAGGCAGTAGTTTTCTGCCTCTCATTCTCTGATTTATATGTTAATATGTAGAATTGTTGGAGATAGATCATTTAAAGTGTAGACTGACTTAAGAGTGTTGTTAAAGTGACCATACTAAATGCAGAAGTTAGACCTACACTTACTGAATTTCTTCATTGTAATTGTTCCTGCTACCAGAAGGATTCATTTCTTGATTGGTTTCCTTGTAGTCTCAGATTTCCTTTTGAAATTTTTTTTCTTAGCTATCTTTTGCAGTTGGGATCATGCTACTTTCTCCAACAATTTGTGTATATTACTGTAATATATTAAAGATATTTTAAAAGGTTGATGCTAATATAACATAATTTATGCTATATTGACTAAAACAATATACTCTCAAATATGTACAGATCTTGAATAAGTTTTATAGAAAACAAATGCAGTGAAATGGAGAGCATTCAAATTCATTCAGTAGTTTCTGGATTTGCATCATTTGTACTTAATTTTCCTTGAAGGTCTAGGCTTGCCAGAGTAAGAACTCCATATGGAAAACTTAAGGACTGAATTAGCTTTGCGATTGAGTTTAAATTGCCCCAGGAAGAACTTCCTTTTTGTTCCCATGTCTACTGTATCAGAGCAGAATGGCTCTTATTATGAGTTCAGCGCTACCAACGATTGAAGACTGGGTAGAATGGAAAGTGAAACATATTCACTACTCAAGTGATAGACAGGTCAACCTCTCTGTCACAATCACCTGGAGATAGACACCTTTGCATGTCTTGCATTCATCCTGGCTACTTTCGTTTCTCCTCTGGAGCGGCGGTCTGAACTTGGAGTTGACCTCTCTTAAAAGATCGCTTCTCTAGATGCTAAAGAGGTTTCCTTTACAGTTTTAGCCTTACGTAGAGTTTCAAGTCCAACTTAGATTAAAGAGAATAGTGGAGGCTTTAAAAATTGCCAATGTTTGCTCTTGATTCTTTTTTTTTTCTTTTGTCTTATGAGGTTGTTGCCTAAAAACCCAAGTGGGACATAATGGCTTTAGAGACAGGAAGGAAACATTTCTTTATTCTTTTTTCTGTGTTAACAGCCCTAAGGTTCTTTGCTAAAAGCCCAACAATGGAAGCACTCCTCAAATTCCACCTTTTTCTTCTTTTTTGCCTTAGAAGAGACAGTATTCAGCAACTGAACAGCACCAGAGGTTGCCCCCTAATGTAGATCCAGAACAGCTAAGTGGTTTATGTCAAGGACCCCTGTTTATTATATGTGTTTGTCAAAATAGGGATTTTTTTACACTCAATAAAATATCTTTAAAGGCTATGTTCTCAAATTCACAATAAAGAATTTGTCACCAGAAAGGGGAGAAAAATAGGAGTTCTCAGATTTGACACAACAGTGAGACGTTGTAATCATTATGACCTATGGGAGAAAGAATTGAAAGAATGAATGATGAGGATGAGACCATTCTGACTATGGATAAAATGACAGTGATGAGAAACATCTCTGCATATCAGTTTAGACATTGCCTGACTTTCAAACACACTTTCAAGCCACAGAACATCATATCCACTTTAGCATCATAAAAACATCCAAATTACTAAATTATCCTAAATCTTTATCAAAATTAGCAAGCTAAAAAAACAATTCATTCATTCACAAAGTGCCTGCTATGTCACGGGACTTACTTCTCCATTTGAAAAAGGCAGCAAATCCCTAGTTTTATAATAGATCCTGCCATTCTAGAGGGGAATAGAATTCTCTCTGTTTTTGTGCTACAACTTGTGCAGACCGCTCCTTGACAGTGCCATGACCTTGATGAGATAGAAAATTTGTTTCCCCCCAAAATACTCCGATGCTAACAGCTCATCATTTCATTAAGATTAGAAGGACACTATGTTTAATCGACCCAGGAGGAATAAAGCACATTCTCCTGGACCAAGATAGAATACTCCATAATTTGAAATTTTAATTTTAATTACCTGTAACAAACATTTATAGAGGCACATAGGCAAAGTAATATGCTTTCTTCAAATATGCCTGACAAAATATTGAAAGCAAGTTAAAGTCTACACTTAGTATCGCGCTAGATAATAATATCTCCTGCTAATAGGCAGCATTATATTTTACACGGTTAATACAAGCAGAATCGAAGAGCACTTGAATGCCCACCATGAACAGTCAGAGTAGGCTGAAGTTCGCTTTTCCAACCATGTTTTTCTGCACACATTGATTATGCATCCCATGTCACCAGCCATCCACCTTCCGAATTTTTAAAGTATATCATCTCGGATTTCATATCTAAGAACATAACAAGAACAAAGTGTAGGTTAATGTTTTCTTCGCCTAAGGATCCAATTTACTTTTATGATGGCTCGAGGCCAGCCCAAATCACATGCAACAATCCTTCCAGAAAATTGAGAAACAAAGTTATTAATGCTAGCATTCCTCTAGTTATCATGCAGAAAGAAAAGAACTTATTTTCACATGCGTATGCCATATTCATATTAAGATATTTTTATTAAGCCATTTTTTTAAGTAGAGATAGCATTACTGATTTTATTTCTTCAAGCCTACTGTGTTCATGCCTAAATTAAATGGCACCTACCATTAATTAAATTCTTGTGTCAGACCTTAAAAGCCCTGGATAGATTTTATTTTTTCTTCCTAAAAGCTTTAAAAAGTATCATACTTATCTTCATTTTGTTGATGGGATATGAGGCATTGGAAGGTGAGGTTCAAGTGACTTGCGTCCTCAGACATTAAGGGGTATAGAAGATGAATCTGAACCCAAACAGTGTTCATTCTAGGGTTTACTTGCCTTGCCCCACCTTAAATGTTGGCTTCTCTTGAGGTTGTTTCATTGGTTATAACATCTTAGGGATTTTTCATTAGTTCCTATAGTTTCTTATGTTTACTGACTATTACAATACTTCTACCCCTTTTCATCATTTGTATCCCAACTGGCCTAATTAATTAGCTATCATATCCCATTAGATACCATACAAGGCTGTTTTACTGCTGATTTAGCTGAGCAGAAGAGAAATCTGTTTAGGTTTAGTATATTTTACAAGGATTCTCTGAGTGAAAGTATACCACTTTCATGCCTGCTAATAAAGTCAAATGATTAAGTGGATCATCAGAAGTTGAGATGACTGCTAGACTAGAACTAACACATATATGGTCTGCATAAGAGAAACATAGAAATGCCATGACCATTTTGATCTTGTACCTGGATTTGGCAGCTCGCCATTCATTCTTTCCTCCATCGTACTTAGGCCACAGGGTCTCCTCGGGCCTCACATTTAAATTCTGCACTGTCGTCCACAGTTACAGCCTTACTGCGGTCTCTCACAAATGATGGTCTACTCTAGAATCAGAAAAAGCCAATCCAAGACAAAGATGAACAATCCAAAACCTCCTAGATGCCCTCAGTAAAAACAGATTTCCTAATTTAAATAATGACTTTAGCAGATTACCCCACATAGTTGCCTAATTTTACAGACTTCTCCCTAGGTGAAGTATTTCCTCCTAGTTCTGCTTCCCACATCTTTGGCTAGTTTATCTTAGGCTCCTTTCTTCTTCCTCTCTACTCTTTCCATCCCCATTAATAAGTTTACCAATATTTCTTTCTCCTTTGTCTCATATTTTACAAAATATTAAATAGGATGTGCTGTAGTAAATTCAGGGTCAGATAAAATGCAATTACCTAAAACAGTTAACTCTGCCTACTTCACTCTCACGCTCCCCGACATGTTTGGTACCAACACACATCTGCCAGCATCACTTTTGCGAGTTATGTAATCATGATGGCTTTCGCTCCTGTATCTAAAAAAAGTTGACCATGGATATGCATAAAAAAATAGCTTTTGCAATGTTTGTGGGACGAGGCTTTATAAATGAAGTTCACTTCCTAATCATTAAACATCAGCCGCATATATACCTTGCCCACAGACTGCGGCAAGTCTGCTCTACCACTGAGCTACATCCCCAGTCCCTTAGATTACATTTTTATCCATTATATTGCTATGGCAATTTCTTCAGCCCATGTCTGCCCAAATGATTGTCCACACTGTTTTTTGAATGCCTTAACTTAATTTGTTTTTTATTTATTTTTTTTCATTTTTCTTTTATTATTCATATGTGCATACAATGCTTGGGTCATTTCTCCCCCTGCCCCACCCCCTCCCTTACCACCCACTCCGCCCCCTCCCTCTCCCCCCCTCAATACCAGCAGAACTATTTTGCCCTATTCTCTAATTTTGTTGAAGGGAGAGTATAAGCAATAATAGGAAGAACAAGGGTTTTGCTGGTTGAGATAAGATAGCTAACAGGGCCACAGTGAATTTCCTGGCGTGGTGTACCTTCAGGTTATTCTTTTTGATCTAACCTTTTCTCTAGTACTCTTCCCCTTCTCCTATTGGCCTCAGTTGCTTTAAGGTATCTGCTTTAGTTTCTCTGCGTTAGGGCAACAAATGACTGCTAGTTTTTTAGGTGTCTTACCTTCCTCACCCCTCCCTTGTGTCTCTCGCTCTTTTATCATTGTGCTCAAAGCCAATCCCCTTGTTGCTGTTTGCCTTTGCATCTAATGGCACATATGAGGGAGAACATACGATTTTTGGTCTTTTGGGCCAGGCTACCTCACTTCAGAATGATGTTCTCCATTCTCATCCATTTACCAGCAAAACTATGCCTTAACTTGTTTTAATCTAGACATTCCAAACTTGTATAGTCACAAGACTGGAGGTATGGCTCAAGCAGCCTAGAGCACCTGCTTTGCAAACTATGAAGCCCCAAGTGCAAACCCCAGTCCCATCCAAAAAAAAAAAAAAAAAGATATTTTGGTTATATCAGAACAACCAAAGTATTTACAGAGTTATAATTTCTATGCTCTAGAAGTGGATATTTTTTCAGTAGCTTTTAAACAAATCTCAGATGCCGTAAGGTTTTCAACTACAAATATCACTCTCAGACTTTTCTTTGGATTGTTCTCATACTCCGTCCCTCCCATTGAAACATACCTGAACAAAATAGTCACTCAGACAGAATTTTGTTCACTGGACACTAACTATATAAGGAAAATCTATGCTACCCAATTGAATACAATTTCCAGGGTGTACGTATAATGCCTATAATCTGTTACTTTGGAAATGGAGGGAGGGGGATGTTTAATTGAAGCTAGAAGCCAGGCCTATCTCAAAAGACTCCCCAAACCAAAAAATGGATAGTGTGTGGGTGAAGTGTTAGACTGCTCACAAGCCAAACAATGAGGCCTGCGATTCAATCACCGTTATTCACCAAACCCAAAAAAAGTTAAAAAAGTGGTCTAATAGTTAAAAGATTACATTAATCATAGTTTTACTGTTTTCACATACTGAAATGAATTTTCAAGTACAAAGATGAAAATAAGTGATACCACTATAGAACCAAACTTCCAAAGTTAACTATTAACAATTGTTTTGTGAAAATTGTATTTTTAGCTCTTTTCTGTATGTACAGACGATTGCCCATCTATGTAGATAGACACATATGGAATTGATCTATATTAATTAAATATATGAATCTACATATACATAGATAAACATGCACATGTATACAATTTTTACTTTAAAATAGAATCATGTGACTCTGTTCTTTCTGTAACCTGAATTTTCGACTTAAAGACATTTTTACCACTTTAATTGGGGAAGACATTTACATAGATATTTCAGCATCAATTTCATGAGCCACATAGTATTCGCGTTATGTACCTTTCCATATTTTATAAAAATTATTCCGTCTTACTGACAGGCATTTAAGTTGTTTTCATTCTTCTCCTTTATGACCCTGAAGTCAGCATTTTTGACTTATAACTGTAAAATATCTCAGAAAGTCTCAAGGAGTTTTCGTAAATAAATGTTAAAATCCTACTTTGAGGCTATAGTCTATAACACTACAATTTGATGTTAAAGTAATCATTTAATTTTAGGTTTTCCCTATTACCCCTCCTGTTAACCTGTTAGAAAGTTGTTAGTAATGCCCCACCTGTCACTAAAGGAACCAGAAGCTTTAGAAAAGTATAGTCCCTCTTCCCACCTTTCTACACGGTGCCTATCAATCACAATGTGTTTAACTATGCCTTTTAAATGTCATTGTGTTCCTTTCTGGCTGAACTATGTGCAGAGGGCATATCTACATTTATCTCATAGCCCCAGAACCTGTCACAATCCTAGTAAGAAGGGAAACATTTTTTGTGGGAGGAAAGTGACTTTGCGTAATGTCACATGAAAAGTTGGAATAGGGCTAAGATGTTGGGCAAGATATGGGTCTGTTTTTGACTATATTCGTTGCCACAATGACAACAAATGCCACAGCCACAAGTCCAATTACCATGCTTAATGCTTTAGCAAAAAAATTTTTTTTTGGAATTTTTTTTTTTTTAATAAATGTTTCTGAGATGCAGAACACTTTGATTTGTAGAATCAAGATTCTCCCAAGATCTACTCACGTAAACATTTCCAAAAGTTTGGGAACAAATAATTATAGCACAAAGGAGGGTGAAACCCCACATTACTGAAATGGAAGTGATCTAAGATGTGATACCAGGCATTCCTTTAATGGTTCTACAACCTTGGACAATACATTGAGCCTCCTCTTACACCTCAGACTCTAACATTGTCCTTGTTTATTTAGAAAACCAGATAATTTTAGAATGAATTTCACAGTAATAGGTTAAAGAGAAAAATAAGAGGAAGCAAACAAATTATTTTTTTTCTTTTTTTTTGTTTTTTTTTCATTATTCTTTTATTATTCATATGTCCATACAAGGCTTGGTTCATTTCTCCCCCCTGCCCCACCCCCTCCCTTACCACCCACTCCCCCCTCCCTCCCCCCTCCCCCCCCTCAATACCCAGCAGAAACTATTTTGCCCTTATTTCTAATTTTGTTGTAGAGAGAGTATAAGCAATAATAGGAAGGAACAAGGGTTTTTGCTGGTTGAGATAAGGATAGCTGTACAGGGCATTGACTCACATTGATTTCCTGTGCGTGGTGTTACCTTCTAGGTTAATTCTTTTTGATCTCACCTTTTCTCTAGTACCTGTTCCCCTTTTCCTATTGACCTCAGTTGCTTTAAGGTATCTGCTTTAGTTTCTCTGCGTTAAGGGCAACAAATGCTAGCTAGTTTTTTAGGTGTCTTCCCTATCCTCACCCCTCCCTTGTGTGCTCTCGCTTTTATCATGTGCTCATAGTCCAATCCCTTGTTGTGTTTGCCCTTGATCTAATGTCCACATATGAGGGAGAACATACGATTTTTGGTCTTTTGGGCAGGCTAACCTCACTCAGAATGATGTTCTCCAATTCCATCCATTTACCAGCGAATGATAACATTTCGTTCTTCTTCATGGCTGCATAAAATTCCATTGTGTATAGATACCACATTTCCTTAATCCATTCGTCAGTGCTGGGGCATCTTGGCTGTTTCCATAACTTGGCTATTGTGAATAGTGCCGCAATAAACATGGATGTGCAGGTGCCTCTGGAGTAACAGTCTTTTGGGTATATCCCCAAGAGTGGTATTGCTGGATCAAATGGTAGATCATGTCCAGCTTTTTAAGTAGCCTCCAAATTTTTTTCCAGAGTGGTTGTACTAGTCTACATTCCCACCAACAGTGTAAGAGGGTTCCTTTTTCCCCGCATCCTCGCCAACACCTGTTGTTGGTGGTGTTGCTGATGATGGCTATTCTAACAGGGGTGAGGTGGAATCTTAGTGTGGTTTTAATTTGCATTTCCTTTATTGCTAGAGATGGTGAGCATTTTTTCATGTGTTTTGGCCATTTGAATTTCTTCTTTTGAGAAAGTTCTGTTTAGTTCACTTGCCCATTTCTTTATTGGTTCATTAGTTTTGGGAGAATTTAGTTTTTTAAGTTCCCTGTATATTCTGGTTATCAGTCCTTTGTCTGATGTATAGTTGGCAAATATTTTCTCCCACTCTGTGGGTGTTCTCTTCAGTTTAGAGACCATTTCTTTTGATGAACAGAAGCTTTTTAGTTTTATGAGGTCCCATTTATCTATGCTATCTCTTAGTTGCTGTGCTGCTGGGGTTTCATTGAGAAAGTTCTTACCTATACCTACTAACTCCAGAGTATTTCCTACTCTTTCTGTATCAACTTAAGAGTTTGGGGTCTGATATTAAGATCCTTGATCCATTTTGAGTTAATCTTGGTATAGGGTGATATACATGGATCTAGTTTCAGTTTTTTGCAGACTGCTAACCAGTTTTCCCAGCAGTTTTTGTTGAAGAGGCTGCTATTTCTCCATCGTATATTTTTAGCTCCTTTGTCAAAGACAAGTTGGTTATAGTTGTGTGGCTTCATATCTGGGTCCTCTATT